TATGTGAGAGAATTAGATGGAAGGATAGTTAAATTTCAAGATTGTGTGCATGATGCTGGAATAGACACAATAATTGGGTTGAGATTATGTGTCTACTAAGTGGAATTCGACTTACTTGATGCTTGAGAGTGCAATCAAATTTGAAAAAGCTTTTGATATTCTTCAAGTAATTGATAGAAATTATGAATATTGTCTATCATATGATGATTGGAGGAAAGGAGATAAATTGCGTGAATTTTTAGGGCCATTTTATAAGATTACAAATATGGTATTCAGTTCTTGTTATCCAACTTCAAATTTGTATCTTATGCAAGTTTGGAAGATTGAATGTTTGCTAAATGAATATTTATTGAATAAGAATGATGTTATAAAGAATATGGCTCCACGAATGAAAGGAAAATTTGAAAAATATTGGAAGAATTATCATGTAGTGTTAGCTTTTAGAGCTATTCTTGACCTTCATTTAAAGCTTGACTTCTTAAGATTTTGCTACACTAAGCTTAATCCTTTAACCTCTCAAGAGAAGGTTAAGAATGTGAAAGATAAGTTTGACAAACTTTATGAAGAATATGCAAACAATTTCTGTGCTACAAGTGGCTCTCAATCATGTAGTGAATCAAATTTGTTGCCTAAGTCACATGGAGAAGGAAATAAGTCCAAGAAATCAAAGTTGTTCAATATATGTTCTTTTGTATTATTTTAATCATGGTGTGTTTTTTATTTTTAATTATTTTTATTTTTTTTAAACAATTATTATGTTATATTTTGCAGGAGTTTAAAATGTTTCAAAATGAAACTATGTCTATTATTGGTAAGAGTGAATTAGATTTATATTTGGATGAGTCATAAGTTGAATATGATGACACTGAAGACTTTGATGTGCTTCATTATTGGAAGAATAATGAAAAGAGGTTTCTGACACTCTCTATGTTAGCACGAGACGTGCTTAGTATTCCAATCACTATATTGGCATCATAATCTACTTTTAGTATTGGTGGATGTGTTCTCACTAAATATAGAAGTTCTACTCTTCTAGAGAATGTACAAATGTTAATTTGTACTAGGAATTGGTTGCATGACTTTGTTGAAAATTCAAGTGGTAATATTTATTTTAATAATACATTATGATTATTATATAATTTGTACAAATGTAATTTTGTTTAATTTTATGTTTATTGCTTATGAGTTTTAGATAAAGATGAGAAACAAGCATAAGCATTTGACCTTGAAACAAAAACACTAAAGTCTATTATGCAACAAAATGTTGTAAACTAACAAGTAGGTGATTGTGTTGTTAATATTGTGATATTCAAATACATCACATTTTAGGCAATGCATTATTTTCTTTAAATAAAATAGAAAATTGATTTTCAATTGAAAATTTTTCTATTATACAATTTTTTATTGGACAATTTTCATAAAATAATATTACTGCTTCTTCTTTTTCGAATGCCTGATGTAATAATATTCTATTCACTTTTACTTATCTACATTGTTTGGCAATTTTCAAGGTTAAGCTTTGAGAGTTATTGGTGTTTGGATGAAGTTATTGGACTCAGGGATGTTGTGAGCTGTGCCACCAATTCTGAGACATTCCTTGTGAAAGGGGAGATGTTGAAGGCTGATGCTCATTTGGATTTGGTGAGTTCCTTTAAGGATTCAATGCTTATGCAACATTTAGTCTAGATGATTGATTACAACTTCTAAATTTGATTATGTTCTAACTTGTGATAAATTCTTAAATCTTATTATGATTATATAAAAATCTCATGATACAATACTTCTAAGTAGTTTATGAAAAAAAAATTTTTTTATAGAAAAACTATTCCAATTTCCAACAGTTTGTGTAGAAACCACTACTTGAATATCCTTACATCTCTAGTAGAGAGATTGGGAGCTTCAACTTTCATGATGCAATCTTCTATTTTTAGGAGAGATTGCCAAAGTCAGGATAAGCTATTTGCTTTTTTAGCTAAACAATAATAAATACGTAATATAATGTTGCCAGATTCCTAATCTTTTAAGTCCAGCTAATATGTCAATTCTTATCCTAGACTAGCAAATAAGTCTTTGATATGGCTAACTGAAAGTCTAAGTTATATGTTTCAAATTGAATAAAAATAAAAGCTTAATATAATACTTAACCCATAAAAACCTCTTATGTTGGTATCAGTGATCGTAGAAATGCATCATTTTGGAACCAAAAAAATTAGAAAAAAAAGGTCATATCAATAATTTTTGCATGAATCTTTTGGCCTACCAAATCCTGGCCCTAACCCACATGGATTAGGGTTAGGACTGAGTCAAATGGACTTTTTGACAACTCTACTCATAGGCCCAATTTTAGTTTAAGTGGTTTAACTGATGGATCCAGTGAAATTTTAATAACGCTAGTTGAGAGATGAAAATATTCAGAACCTCTTTTTCTTATAAATTCTCTATCTTAGACTATTCTTTTGCATGTGGTTTATGATTTGCAATTGCAATTATTGTTCAATGATTAACAACATCCTCATCAGAGAAAATATTGTATTCATATTTTTTATTTCAAAACTCATTTCATCTTCTTATTTCTCTTGCATATTTGTATTATTGACATTCTACCTTTATCAAATTTAGATTTTAAAACTATATAATTATACAAAAAATGGTTATGATAAAAAAAAAAAGGAAATTAAGAAAGAGAAAACTAGAAGTTAAAAGTAGTGGTTGAGAGAACAACAATATTCTATTTTCATGTGAATCTAATTAAACTAGATGGAAGCTTTATTATAATGTTACCACTTTCACTATTTGAGCTTTACTTGATATGATTTCTAATTAGGCATGCATTGTTTGCATTACATTATAATAATTATATTTGACTTTTAATATTGTACTTAAATATCAAGTATCACTGTGTATTTCATCATGCACTTAAATGTGAGAAGCATATATTCTATATTCTTTGTAGCAATACTTGGTCTGAAGTATAATAGAGAATATTAATATGCTATTTTTTTATTATTGAGTTTTTTTTAAGTCATTTGAATAGTGTATATGCATTAAGTTTCTTTGTAGATTCATTACTTGAGTTAGACACGTTGAATTTGAATGCCACTTTTTTTTTTTGTTAAAAACCTACGACATAAGTATTTCAACCAATAAAATTTTAGTTTCTATCTCCCAATCATTTATTATAAATTTTCATTTAAATTAAGTTAGTGTTAGTTCTACATATTCTAAGTTTAGACAACATTTATTCATACATGTAAAACTTAGGTTGCACATACTTATTTTATGCAAGGTTTGCTCTATTAGAAAAGTAAGATTTAAGGGTATTAATTTGTGCCTGTGCCTAGCTAGTTTTTAGGGCTTATGATGTATTACTTTTGAATTATCTATTTTATATACATAAATAGATATAACAAGTGAACAAATCATTTTAATTAACAATTGAATTTGTAATCAACAATAAAATTTTAACAATAACTAAATTATTGATAATTTTTTAATTTAATATTAACTGCCAAATTATTGATAACCGTTTAAAGATAAACAGAAACCAAATTCATCATTGAAGTCTATAACAAAATCATCGATCAAAATATAGCTAAATCAACAACAATCTAATGAACATATACTTGATTGCAAATTTGATTGCTAAGTAAATTATTATGCCGAACATTAGCGACCGAAATGTACCACTTTGATACTAATTTCTTTTTATCTCTAAATTAAAAAGTTAGCATCTAATTACATTTTTTTTGTCACTATTAGTTTTTTTTTTCTAGTTGTCTAATTTTTAACCTTTTAACATTGATTATAGATTCCATTACTAAAAATATCATTTATCAACTTATCTTTATATTTAATTCTTTAGTAAATTATATTTAACTATTTATTCATTTGAATTTAAATTTTTTTATATATAAACAAAAGTCATAGTATTTTATTGCTGTGTAAACCAAGCAAAGAGGAAATGAATTATATTTTTACGTTTTTTTTCATATTAATTTGGCTATATAAAGAACACTGAAAGTTTTTATAAATTGAAAATATTTTTTCATTTGAATTTATATAATATAATAATTAAATAAAATATTTTTTATTAAATCTGTTATTAAAAAAATTTCATCAACCAAATTATGTAAAGAAAACAATATTTCTGTTGATCTCATTTTCATTTCATGTGAAGAAAGTTATACTTAAATTATTTTATTTTTTTGCTTCAGAAAACACTTAAATAAAAATAAGTTTTGAATGTAAAGTAAAAGTTAAAAGGGAAGTGTAAATAGACATGTTAGACTATAAAAAAACCTCGTTTATAAATGAGATGACAATTAAATTATTCTTTTTAATTTTTTATAAGATTTTCTTAAAAAATGTTTGGTTCTTAGATTGAAATATTTACAAAATTTTATAAATTGATTATTTAACTTATCTATGTTTATTAAATCTTAAGTCCAATTTCTCTTACACTTTTGGATCTGGGTTCACATTCACTCAAATTCTAATATTGATATTAAAATTTGATAACAAAAATAAATACCAAAAATATTTTTTATAAAAAGTGAAAGACCCCCAAAAAAGGAAAGTCAAGTTAAAATGAAAAATAAAAAAAGGCTAACCAAAAATAAAAAGCCTCAAGAAAAAAGAGACAAGCCCAAACAATTAAACAAAAATCTATGATAAAAGTACGAACTTGAAGTCCTTAACATGGTGTATAATGAACATGATTTGAATACAAATAAGCTAAATTTCTCTTACACTATTAAGTCGAATTTATACTCAATTTTTAATAAATAATGATTAAATAAAAATAAGTTGTTATAATTATTATTTTTAATTAATTTTAATAGCTTCTTAATTTATAATATCTAACTAAAACAATCTTATAAGTAAGAATGAAGGGTCTATATGATAATTTAACAACAGACTGGTTTAGTAATCAAAGCTTATCATTAATGTTTTTAGTGTATACAAGTTCATCCTTTCAATTTGACTTGTGAAAATAATGGTCAACATTTGGATATATAACATATATTTTTAAAAAGTTTTGTCAATCTCCTTGAAGCTTCCAATACAGATTCTCTGCGACCGAAGGCACTAACTCTAATATAGCCCTCGCCGCCAGGACCAAATCCTATGCCCGGGATAGTGACTATGGCTGCTTTCTCAAGAATATGGTTGAACACATTCCATGAACTCAACCCTGGAAAATGCACCCACACGTAAGGCCCATTTTTTCCTCCATATACCTTTAGACCAAGTGATTCAAACGTGTCAACAAGTAACTTCGCATTTTCCATGTAGTACCTCACGCTTGTTTTTAGTGCCTGAAACGCATAAATGGACACACATAAGCTAGTTTCACCACCAACTTCATTTTCTGTCACTTTAAATATATAAAATGAAAAAAATAAAGTTTGTTTGCTGTTAATTCAAAATTACTTATATTTATAAAAAAATTAAATTAATGGTAGATAAGTTTTTACTTTTTTTTAAAACAAATTTGAATGGATTAAATCTGTCTATTTTTATGTCTACAAAACCCAATTTCTTTCAGTATTTATGCAATCTCAATTTCATTTCCTTAAAATAATTAAGACATGTAATGTGCATAGTACTTTCATCTTAATTTAAAATTAAAAAAAAGGAAAAGATAATTATCATAAAAATACCGAAAATCTTGTTCCTAAGGAAGACAGAGTATTTGGATGACCAAATCACTTACAAAATAACATTGCCATTATGATTGGCAAACAAAAGAAAGGAGCGAAAACAAATAAAGTTTAAAAATTATACTTTAATGAAAATCTTATTCAATCCAGACACAAAAGACGAAGTATGAGAGCAATTAGAAAAGAACTTATAGTCAACGGTTTCTTTTTCCCTACAAAAGCAAATATTAATTTTACACTAAAATAGACTTAAAAGTGTTACACTGTGTACTAATCACACTTTAATTGTTATTTAAACACCAAAATGAAAGAAAGAGAAATACATATTGTTTGACAGAATGAAGCTTGTGAGAAATGAAACCTGTAATCCTTCAGGAGAAAGGCATGCAAGTCCACCAGCTTGAACAATGTTAGATGCACCATTGAAGCAAGTGCAAACAATGCGATTATAATCCTTTATGACTGGATAACCATTAGCATACAAAAGCTCTTCAGGGACCACTGTCCACCCAAGGCGGACACCAGTAAAGCCAGCAAATTTTGAAAACGATGAAATTTCAATTGCCACCTGCACTCATGTACGCACAAAACTCACAAGTCATGAATATACAGACTCACGGACTCCTTTTTGTACTTATTTAAGTATATAATGAGATGTTGGTATAATACTTATCAAGTAAAATAAATGATAAAACATAGTTTGAATATATGTAAAGAAGATCGCTAGAAGTATGAAAAAGAATATATTAGATGATTTTTATTTTTATTTTATGAAAGGGGTGGAAGGCTGAGGATACCAAAGGAATTTAAAAAAATATAATTTTTTATGGTAAATAATATATTTAAGAATGTAATTTTTGATTCAATCCAATAATACTATGTGACTCGTGTAACTAGTGTGACCTAATTAGACGAGGTTATTGATGTTATTTGTTTAAGTTTTTTTAAAAGAATTAAAAAAATTATTATTTTGACAATATTTTGAGAAGATTTTGAAAAAAAGTATAATAATAACTATCCTCTAAAGAAAAGTATACTTTTTTTTTTTTTTATAGTTTTTAACTAAGTAAAAGTAAGTTTTAGAAAACCCATGTGGTTTGGGGTCAAACTCAATTTTATGCACCACAACACATATTTTAATAAATAATTGATAGTTCTAAAAAATATTTCTTCTATTCATTTTTCAAATTAGTTGTTATAATCAAACAAATCAGCATGAAGTATAGCTCAAAGCACACCCATCATTGACCAATCACTATTGAGGTAATTCAATGCTATCACCACCTCTTTGGCTCCAGGAATTTCAAAGATTGATCTTGGGCTTTGATCAGATATGTAAGCAGCATAAGCAGCATCATAAATTATCATAGACCCATTTGCTTTTGCAAACTCAACAAGTTGCTTCAGTTGGTGCCGTGATGCAGCATTACCAGTTGGATTGTTTGGGGAACAAAAGAAAATAACATCAGTTCTTGGAGTGGTTGACAAGTCTGGAAAAAAATTATTTTCAGGTCTACACTTCATATACACGACATTTTTGTACTTTCCAGTCTCTGCTTGCAACATGCCAGCCCTACCAATAATGACACTCGAATCTATGTACGCCTGTCAAGACGTAAATTAACCAAGTTATAAGTGAATGTTTGAGATCTGAGAGTATTGATATAAATGCATGTATAGTTAAATTTATTTCTAAGAAATTTCTTTTTTATATTTAAATATTAATGAAGATAAATTATTATTTCCTCAAAATAAGTCAAATAATCATATATTGAAAGTTTCTTAAAGGATTGAGAGGGAATTTTATTTGGAATTATGAAAACTAATTCAATAAATTTCATTATTAAATTATTTACTGGAACTCAATATAGTCTTCGAGCGAAAAATTACATATTTTCATATCAAAGTTCAATATTGATCAAATACAAATCTAAAAGTAATTACCGGAAAAGTTGGGTCTTGCACAGCAACCGACAAACTACCATCCAAAAGCATCTACCCATAAATATGGCAAAAATTAATTAGTAATTTGTTATAATATAAATATTACAATCTCTAAAATCTATGCAAAAAAGAATTTCATTTTCTCTCCTTTTATGTATGATATGTGTTTCATCACTTTGTTTACAATCCTTTATGCGTCTAGTAAAATATCAAAAAGAAAAAGAAAAGGGCTAACTTTCCATGGATGTAAAGGGTAGTTTAATGGAAAGTATGTGGAATGGAAATAAGCCAAGTCGTCAATTGGTAACATATTTGTATGAAGCAACTTCCTTCACCTGAACGCGAGAAATATCACACTTTGCACCATCAGATACAAAAATCTCATTTTCTTTCACTTGCATATCTTGGTAAACGGTTTCTGCTATTGCCCTCTTTAGCTCCTGAAAATGTTAATGAACTTTTGTGAACATGAAATCCAAGAGCAAAATGATATCTTAGGATGCTAGAATAGTTCTCCTTCATGCTGAGAAGCATCATGGCATTTCCATGTCATTTATTTCAAGACAGAAAAGCAGTGGCACTTTACCCTGTTACCTTGCTCAGGTCCATAACCCCTATAGCCTTCAACCGTTGATAGACCCAATGCTTGCTGCAAAAAAATACAGCATATTTTGTAACTTAATTAATTCATTAAAAAATTACATTTTCTACAATAATTCTTGTGTGATCATAGTATCAATAAAATCATGTTATCTTATCAAATCCCCTTTCATGTTTCCATCAGTAAGTGAAGATTATATGTGCATAAGGAATAAACTATATTGACAATTTTAATGGAGCTAATACCTCAGCCATAGCTGATGTTATGATGTCTGGTATTGGCTCTGTAGTATCACCAATACCAAGTCTTATCAACCTTGTATTTGGATTCCTCTTAGAATATTCAGACTCACGCCGGAATATCTGGTTAAGGTACGATAAGGTAATAAGATACTAAAGCTTACAATTAGACATGGGCTATTAAGACATAGTTATATAAAATCATTGAGACGATTAGAGTATTTGGAAAAGTTTATCTGGGCTAACAGAAAAGGCTCAGCTTATGAATGAACTTCAAAATATATTTATGAATAAATGTTTACCTAAACTTGCTCAATATGTTAAAGGATGGTAAGCAATTCCAACCAAGAGAATTCCCAAGTGTCCATAAAAATCACTCTAATTTAAACTAAGCCAAAATATATCGAAACACTAGCATAAGCTTGTAATATATGAGCCAGGAAAATTGAGAAATAACTGACCTCAGGAAACAAATATCCACTATGGAAGTTTTCCATGTTGGCACTCCGAGGGATTTTTGTGAGATAATCTATATTGTATATATGTCAGTTTATAGAATGCAATCATGAATAAAAATGTCCAAAACCCAAATTAAATTATAAGATAGTTGCTCAATGGCATGATAAGATTTTTATAAGTCAAATGCAAACAGAGTTGAAGATACTCCATAAAATTTTGCTACATAGTCTGCCCATAACTCACCAACTCTCCGTGTTCTGTCAGACTTGGAACTACAAGTTACAAAGAACATAAAATGAATAAGTAAATATGTGCTCTGTATTAAACAAAACATCAGCATAAAATATGATAGCTGATACTAGAATTTAAAGGCACCTGCTTGGTGTTGTACTAGGTTGAACCGACACTGCATGGGGTATGCACATAAAATATGATAGCTGATAAGGCATTTTTTTTGCACTTTTTAAACTTTGCAATCCTCAAAGTATGGAGGTATATTGTAAACTGAGCAAGAGGTGATGAGACATTGAGCCACACTAGACTTCTTATACTTGAGGAGAGTCTGAGCAGTATGAAATTATTGGATCTAGGAGCACCACACAAAATTGTGCTTGCATCGTCTATGTTTACATTTTAGTTTCAAGCTTCAACTAATGTTGGGGCCCACACCATTCCCGAAATATTTAATACACTTTCCGTTAATATTTTGTGGGTTTAGACTTCTATTAACGAGTGCATTTAGTTTTACAAGAGAATGAGAAAATCTTGCTCCTAATGTATATAAGTGATAGTACTTCCAAAATCGATAGGATGTCTTAAAGAAAGACACAAATTATTATAATTATTATATTGTTCTGAATTTTAATGTAGATCCAATTAAAATTGTTTATGATATGGAAGCTTAAGTTATACTAAGTTTAGAACTCTAATATTTTGATTTATGAAAATTTCTAAATTAATTGAAGTCGGAGAATTTACGATTTTATAGAATTTGATAATTGTTAATCAAATGTAGTGTAAATTGATTGGATTATGTGTTAGTTATGGCTTTTCATGCCTCTAACTGAAAAACTTCCTAACTGAACATTAACTAATAGAATGTAATAAATACATATTAACATCATATGTATTAGTTTTTGTTTTTACTCAGTCAGATGGGATGGATTTTATTGTGATGCGTTAATTTTAAGATAATAGTGACAGTAAAATTTTTCTACTTACATATGTTAGATTGTTGGTATAATATATAATGCTATGAATATTGATGTTGATATTGATAATATTGAATATTACTACCATGCTTATTGCACTTAATATAATTTTCTTTATCTATTTAATTTTTTTAAACTTTATTTTTATGATTTTTCCTTTTAATATAGTACTTTTGTGTAAATTAATGTTATTTTATCATTTAAATAATGTGAAATTTTTGTGTGAAGTAAATGCCCCTAACAATTTTTGTCCATAAACATGTTTAAGGAAGTTAAGTATAAAGTTATTTTAGACTGTAATTTAATACTTGTTAAAGAGTACTATTATTGAATATGAATGACGATCGTTACACTGACTTGTTTATGAAGTTAGTAGAGTTTGTTATTTAATTTAGGAATAATCATTACTAATATTAATTAGTTCATTAGTTTGCCCACAAGAGATTGATTTATTGCATGAGATTGATTTAAGTAGCATAAAATTTTAGAATGATGTCACCGTGAAAATTCTTCTAACTACAAGTATTAAAAATTTGAAATTATTGTACTATAATAGTATCAAATTTGACAATAAATTTTGTAAAGAGGAGGAATTTGTAATATACTTGCATGAAATTTGGTTTTTAGCCAATTGTTGTGATTACGATGTTTCGAAGAAATGTTATTGATATGTGTAATTGAGATATATTATTTTTATTTGGTAAAATTTTAATGCAATTAATGTTATATTATTGTGTCTAAGTGATTTTATTTTTAAAAAAATAATAAAATTTCTACTAATGATAAATTACAAGTGATACGAGGCACATTATTCTTTATTTCTATAAAAACATGGGAGTATAGTTTATTTTCTATCAATATATGTTTTTAGAATTGTTAATCACATCTTGTATATATCAACATATTAGTATGAATTGTAATATATGACATATTGTGTTATCATAATAATATTCTTGAGGTGTGGGTATTTTCTTGAAAAAGTATTAGTTTTTCAATATAAGAATATTTAATTTCTCTTTAAGAAATGGGGTTCATTATAAACATGTTTTTTAATATCTTTCTAGAGGTTGATAATATTGTTTTTTTAGAGAACACGGATATTTCTTGTGAAATATGTCAATTTTCTTTAATAAACATGGTGTTTCATGTAAAACATGTTTGTAATTTTCTAGAAGAGAGTAATTACATTTTTTTCAAAAAAATATAATGTGAGATCATAGACAATAGTAGAAAAATAGATCACATAATATATTATGAAGTGTTTTTATGTTTTCACACTTAGTTGTGATTATGTTAATAAAATTATTAGTTATGTAGTCATTAGCGTATCAAACACTAAATAGTTCAATTTTATATATTGCCCTTAGTTAATGATTTTGTTTTAAAAAAAATATGTTTTTATAGTAGTCATTATCATGTTTATTTTTTTTTATCATAAATTTATTCAATTTAAGAGTTGTTTTCTCAAAATGATTTTAAAATAACTTTAAATTCGATCAATAGTGCCTAAATGATGGAATGATGGATTTTTCTCAACTTGGAGTTCTACATATTAGTAGATTTAGTTTTATAACTTGATAATTTTATAAGCTTATATGATTGTGTGAATACTCTAAATGTGTACTTTTCTCCTCAAAGAGCTCGGTTGCAAGAGAGAGAAAAGGAGATAAAGATCTTGTTCTTGACATATACAAATGTATTTGCTTCCAAAATTGACAAAATAAAGTCCTGAAAGAAAGTCTTCAAGAGGTACTCATTATTATAACTAGTTTAATAGTTCATCTAATGCATAGATATTTTATTTTAAAATAAATATATAATTTAATAATTAAAAAATAAAATTTAAAATTTTTATAAATAATTATATATAATAAAAATATTTTAACTTTAAGGTTATAACTGAATTGGATGACTTTGTCTAAAACTTATCTAACCCAATCAGCGAACACATGTAGTAGACTTTACATTTTATAGTAGCGAAAACATATTTTCTATACGTAATTATTAAGAATGTTGAATAAAAGTATTACAGATTATAGATAAAGTATTATAAATTTTATAAATATAAACATAAAAAATTATAAAAATTTTGAAATTTATATAAAATGATAATTTTTTTTATAAATATAAACGCGTGCAGTTGTATAATAAAAATTTATAGTTATCATAATCTTCAAATTACAATATATATATATATATATATAAAATTAAAGTTTGGCTAAGTTAGGCTTCGATTCATCTTCTTGACCCAAGATTGGGTACTTAAATGAGAAATTATTGTCCTTTTTCCATGAAAAACAAGATTAGACCTCAAGCTAAATTTGGCTGATAGGCCATATTGATATTCTATATACCTCTTCTTAGATTAATTAAACAAAATTACTACAAGAATAATTAATGTTAAATTTATTTTATTTAAAAATTATGTATAGATATTAAATTTTATTAATTTAGATATTAGGCAATAATATATTAATGTGTTGATTATGAATGTCAAATTTTAAATAAATTAAATGTTTGTAAAAATCATAATTTTAAAGTTAATATTTACTTATATTTTAAAAAGTACAATACATATTTAAATAATATTGTTTAATAAAGCGTTAAATAATTTTTTATTTGTATGTTTGCTTTATTTAATAATTTTTTTAATTTAATAGTTGAATTAATTAAATTTAATATGTATAAGTTATTAAATAGAATAATTTACTAGTAGTTACTTGAATAATTTGATCCCACCCATAAAAAAATATTTTTTACTTAAAATGAGAGAGAGTGAAGCTTACAAAGCATGTGTGATACATGTGAAGATAAGAAAATTTTCTAATTCAAAGAGTGCAGAGTGATGTGAATAAACTAAGTTGTTTATGAAATGATAATTTTTTAAAATATTTTATCAAAGTACATATATTTACTAAATACATAAATTAAAGCTTAAATTTATATTAGATTAAATATATTAAATTATTTATTATTGATTTAAATTATTTGATAATAAGTTTTATTGCAGTAATTTATATTATTATTTTTAATTTAATTTTAAAAACTATATAATTGATATAATAGTTACTATCAATTCAAAAAATGTTCTTAACTATCAAAGCAAATACTTAACTATTTAATTATCATCTACTAATATTCTAGTATACTAATAATATTCTAATTCTCAAAAAAAAAAAACCTTCTTAATCTCTTATTTTGGCTTCTTTTTTTTTATTTATTTCCGTTTCTGCATTTCTATTCCTCCAATTTCAGCTCGTTCCATATAAAATTGGTTTATATATATATATCGAAGCTATACCTTATCTGAGAGTAGTGCTAGTCGTTTGGCAGTGGCTAAAGACAAAATTAAAAGGCAACGGTTGTGATCTCTTAATTTCAATCTTAGAAATTTAAAACTCTGGATGGATGATAATGACTTGAATATTAATAGTTTTCAGATGTTTTCATAATTAAAGGTATTGAAAGAAGTTCAAATAAAAGGAATCAATCCCTATTATTAGTGTTAAACTATAAAAAATAATTTATGTAATTGTTGTCACTACTAAAAAAAAAATCAAATTCCAAATTTTTTAAATTCTATTTGAGATCAAATTATTCATTGAGAGTAAAATAGTAAAATTTTTTAATTATAAATTAATGTGATCTATAATTTTATAATTAAAAAAATTAAGAATAAAATTTGGATCAATAACTTATTTATGTTAGCCTACCCTTACACATGACTTCCCTAAATTTTTTAAGCATGACCCTTATTGTATGTTTTCATATTCACACACATATAATCAATATATATAATTCATTTTTTATATTTCAATACTTGATAATTAAATCTAGAGAATTATAATAGAAAATATTTAGAGGTCTAATTTTTGTATAATAAAAAAAATAAAAAATACACATATTATCTAAGTTTTGACTAATTATAATTACTAAATTTTTTAAATATTAAATTTCTCCTTTTGTTAGCATTCCACCTGTTTAGAAAAAAAATTATATATTAAACAACACATTAATAAAAACCAAAAACATATCTTTAAGAGATATTTTTGAAAGAGGAAAAATACCTAAGTTATAAACGAGAAAAATACCGATTCCATTGCACGTAATCTCGTCCCATGGTCAAAGAAATTGTAGCAGCCCCGTGTGCAGACAGGTACTAGTCAGTGTGCACTTTTCAGGTCTCTCTCATGGATTTTTCTTTACCATACACGTGGCCTCTCAAATTTCCACGTATA